GAAGCCCTGTACATTGGACGGTGAGTGGCTTCCGCGCCCCTTTGTAACACTGGTGAGCAGCTTTCGCTGAATTCTTCCCTCTTTGCAGACTGATCAACGGCTTCGGTGTCGGTTTCGCCTCGATGATCAACCCCCTCTACGTGTCGGAGAACGCTCCTCGTGCCATCCGTGGCGGTCTGACCGGACTGTATCAGCTCTTCATCACCATGGGTATCATGCTGGCGTTCTGGATCAACTACGGCTCCCTGCTGCACATCAGTGGCTCGGCCATGTACCTCGTCCCACTGGCCATGCAGGCCCTTCCCGCCATCCTCCTCCTGGTCGGTATGCTCCTGTGCAACGAGTCTCCCCGCTGGCTTGCCCGCCAGGACCGCTGGGAAGAGGCGCGCGCCACACTATCCCAAGTGCGCCACTTGCCCCCCACCCACCCCTACGTCGAGCGCGAGTTCCAGGACATCGTCGCGCAGCTCGAGCACGAGCGCCAGCTCATCGGCGGCTCGGGCCCCTGGGACCTCATGCGGGAGATGTGGCTGATCCCGGGGAACCGCAAGCGCGCCCTCATCAGCATCTTCCTCATGGTCTGCCAGCAGATGACCGGCACCAACGCGATCAACTACTACGCACCCCAGATCTTCAAGAACCTCGGCGTCACGGGTAACGCAACCGGCCTCTTCGCCACAGGCGTCTACGGCATCGTCAAGATGGTCGGCTGCGCCATCTTCCTTGTCTTCGTCGCCGACTCCCTCGGCCGCCGCCGCTCCCTCCTCTGGACCTCCGTCGCCCAGGGCCTGACCATGCTCTACATCGGCCTGTACGTCCGCATCGCGCCCCCCAAGGCCGGCGAGCCCGTCATCCCCGCCGGCTACGTCGCCCTCGTCTGCATCTTCCTCTTCGCCGCCTGCTTCCAGTTCGGCTGGGGGCCCGTCTGCTGGATCTACGTCTCCGAGATCCCCACCGCCCGCCTTCGAGGCCTGAACGTCTCCTTCGCTGCTGCCACCCAGTGGCTCTTCAACTTTGTCGTCGCCCGCGCCGTCCCTAATATGCTTGCTACCGTCGGTGCAAATGGTTACGGGTACCGCTCTCCCTCCCCAGAATCCTCTCCCCCAAAGGTGAAGTGTGCTAACCGGTCAAAGAACGTACATCATATTCTCCTGCTTCTGTCTCTCCATGGGCGTGTTCGTATGGTTCTTCATCCCTGAGACCAAGGGTAACTCCCCCCAACCCTTCCTCCCCAATCATCATGTATCAAACAGTTCATGCTGACGAGAATAGGTCTCTCGCTCGAGAAAATGGACGAATTGTTCGGCGTCACGACCGCCGAGAATAGCAAGGTGGCCGATGCCGAGCGGGCCATGAGTACAACCGACAAGGACGCCGAGACKGTCGTTGAGACAAGGGTTGAAAGGGCGTAGATAGCTCGGCTTGTAATGTCCTGGTGAGAGATTTTTGGTAACTTGCTATGAATCAGAGTACCATGTTTGATAGATGGTCCTGCTAGTCAAAATACCTTAGTAAATGGCATCAGAACTTGTAGGACTGAAAATATGTTCATCATTGGTCGTAAGTCGTATATTCCTGTCGTTATTTACAAACCCGCAGTAAATTCCCACATAGCAGAGTGACAAAACAAGAAGACGGACTGGGGTACGTGGATGCAAAATAATATCAATCAATCAACCCTTGAACGCTTCTGACAATTCGACACCTGGCACAATTCAATATCTTAATGAATGCAAATACCTGGATCTCAAAACAACGCAAACCCCAACTCCGCTAATGCACGTAATAGCATATAAAGAAAAAACTGGTCGAAGCTGTCCAAACGGTTACTTCAAACCGCGCATCGAGTATTTGCGGATTCCCTCATTTCCGGCAGGTCTCTGCGTCTGACTGCGCGTCACTCGCCGGGAGGGCTTGTCATCAAGACTCAACCCTCCGATTCCAGGGCCAAGCTCTGAGCGTCTCGGGGAGAAGAATGTATCGGTCGGGTTCCGACCGTAGCGGATATTCCTGACCGTGTTGCTTGTGGCTGTCGTCGCCGTCGTCACGGTCGTCTCGGTGTCTGAATCGCGATCGTAGGCATCAGAGAAGTCGGATTCATTGTCCTTGAGACTATTCAATGTGAAGCTGTGATCACGTTTTAGGCCTTGATTGTGGGTTGGAAATCCTAGTTGGTACTGTGCCTCTGGTGACCGCGTCATGAAGCTGGAACCGGCAGCAGTAGAAGAAAATGAAAGAGGGGGAACAGGGGGCTCAGCAGAACTGAATGATGAAGATGGTTGCTCGGGCCGAACATGGCTCCCGAATGATGGACTGCCCGAAGCGCTTTCGTCCGCAGACTGGCTGGGCTGCTGCACTTGAGAGCCAGTATCGCCAGTTGGCGTGATACGGTAGAGAGATAACAGCCCCAATGCTTCCTGAACGGTCATAAAGACCAACAGAAGTTTCCCATATCTGTCAAAATAATGTCTCTCGAACGACACATGTGGAAGGTGCCCCCCAAGGTGGACGGCCGCCACAAGCTCGGCAAAATAAACAAGGATCTCCATGCCGTTCCATTGCGCGATGGGTTGCTTGAGGACATCCAACAGTGCGAATCCTGCAATCAGACTTGCACTCCCAAGAGAAGCCACCTCGACGTAATTGCCAGGAATTGAGAGATGGTTGTACTGTGATAGAAGCCAGGCAGCAATAGATGCTAGTAATAGGCCCACCCGAAAGTACTGGAACATAAAGAGTGCCTGCATATCCATGGACTGTCGAGCATGCGCACTGGCTGCTCGCTGCTGCTGCTGCCGCCAGTTCTCGTTCCCCTCATCCTCAGGGGATTTGATCGTAAAAGCTCGGTCAAACAAACTCTCCAGCCCAGTTGAAGCAAGATGGTCACTGGTAGGAAAGAACTTTGGAGGTGCAAACACCGAATCTGCCTGACCGGCGGGCTTACGTTGCCAGGAACTTGGCGATTGAGTGGGTGTACGGTGAAATGGGTTGCGTTCAACAACCTGCTGGATAGGCTTCGGCCGCGAAGATTGGGTCCGAAGGTCCCATGATGGAGGTTTAGGGGCTGCAGGCAGTGATCCATAGAACGGTAGAGGTCCATTGAGAACAGACGGTGTGTCTCTCTGACGGACGCTGACCGTCGGCTTGATTTCGTGCTGCACAGAAGGGGTCCAATCCATATCGTCCACCTGGGGGGGAGGCGTGGCAGGAATAAGCGTCTCCGTTTCCGGCACTGGTCGGGGAGTTGCCAGCTTCTCAAGCGGGAAGCGTGGAGTAGCTTGCTGGTCGGTTCCACGAGAGCTGGTGAAGCGATGAGCAGTAGTGCTCGACTGCGCAACGGGGGACATAACGGCTTTCCCACTAGGGGTCGCCGTTGGCGTGCTATCCGACCATGCGACCAGTGGGCGAGTGTCATACTTGACAACGCGCCGAGAGACAACAACGGACTTGAGATTCTGTCAGCGTGCGATTCATTAGTTCCTCAGCAACAACGAGACTTACCAGGATCGTGAAGAGTATCATGAATAGATGAAGAGCCGGCGGCAATGTCGGTTGTAGTCCACTCGAAGAAGGGTCTTTAAGTACAGCCCAGAAGACACATCGCGCCACCATGACGATGAGCTGCACCTGATAGTATTCGCCCAGCCCGACGAAACGTCCTCCTCTGCCTTCGACCTTGAGTCGCAGTTTCGGGTTCCACCACAAGGACAAGATCCCCACAACCAGAGCTAGACCAGCATATGGAGACAAGTCAATCCAGCATGAACTCGGTAGTTGAAGTGTCTGTAATGTCGCACGAGAGCACGACGCAATGGACGGCAGTGATAAGTCATCGTACATATCGCGGAGAGGATTATCGGCACTCAGAGCACCCAGAGTATCCCAGGCGAGTTGACCAGCAACGCTGCCCCAGTAACCGATGGCACCCGCTGACACAAGTAGATTCCTCCAATTCCACCGCCGCGCATGTCTCGTCGCCCTTCCCGCTTTGCTCCTGTCCATCATCCTTCGAAGGTGGTCCGATTTTGCCTCATATCCAGCTTGACGGATCCGTTCCTTCACCCGAGGTTCGCAGTTTGCGCATACTTGCGGGTATCGTTCCTCCAGGTTCCTGCGAAAACTGGGGTATTCTCGCTCGTAGGCGCTATAATTGGGATCCTCTGGCGACGGGAAATAAGAGGCAAGCGCACTTGTGAACAAATGCTGGTTGCGAACACACTGAGCACAGAAGAGGCCGGATCCTGTAAGATCAACCGACTCAAAGGGAACGTCTGTGGCGCCAGGACCGTAAACAGTAGGATTCGTTTCAGCGGCGGGAGGGTCGGTAATCTCTCCTTTCTAATGACGGCATCTGCGTTAACTCGATATATACTAAGAAGCAAGGGCAAAAAAGAGCAAGCATATACCTCGTCAAGGTAGTTGACCGCTTCGCAGTGTTTGCAGCGCCATTTGCGAACGTTTTTGTCAGCTTGCGCAGAGCGATGTCCACAGTAGAAGCAGCTTAGTCGCTTGGAGAACATGGTTTAGTATTTCATGTCAGATCCGATGACATTGATGATGATTATTCCAAGAGACAATATAGTGCGCTTGAAAAATAATTTATTTATGGAGTGATGATAAAGTGTATCCTTGGTGTTTTTGTCTATCACAGGAGTTAAGACAACAACAAGAAAATAATCACCGAGATCCGCACGGACCACGTGCCGTCCGCAAGTAATCCAATGACATAAAACCATGGGAATGTTGACAACTCCAGCCATCCCAAGACAAAATGGCTCGTTGAGTCTAGGGTAGCTGTGGCTGAATGATAATCTAAGGTGTATTTCCAGCTTTGAGAGTCTGTCAGAGCTAGAATGCCAACAAAAACGAGTGAAACAGGTGTCGTTTTCTGACTATCGTGTCTTCAAGTGCACTGCGTTGAGGATGAGATCTAGCTACAACAGTAGCTAATATTACTTCCAACGGGCAATCTTCGTCTGAAATCGCGAAAATAAGCTCCCATGGCTCTGCTATGGGTCAAGTTAATCCTCTATGGCCTCTTATTTGGGGCCATATGCGGCACTGTCGCATTAATTGTGAGGACACATCTCAATCCCTCCTTCTTTGCGGCGTGCTCATGACTCTATTTTCAGCTCTGCATTCGTGCTCTATCAATATCGCAGAACTCCAAAGTTCCGAAGTGGCGACGAAAGAATAGTCCAACTCATCTTCTCGTCGTCCTAGGCAGCGGCGGACATACCGCGGAGATGTTCTCTATGTTGCGGCGTATGAAACTCGACCCCTCGACATATACTTACCGCACCTACGTCGTCAGCTCAGGAGACGATTTCAGCGCTGCGAGGGCCGTGGAGTTTGAGACAGAATGGTTGAAGCAGAATTCAAAGCTATCATTTTCTGCCAATGACAGCAACTCCGCAGAGTCCTACGCAATCGTCACGGTTCCTCGGGCGCGCCGTGTGCACCAGTCTTACCTGACTGCTCCTCTTTCAACCCTTCAATGCTTCTACGCTTGTCTTCTTGTACTTCGCGGCCGTCATCCCGAGCAAAAGTCGCCGCTTCTCTCGCCATACCCGGACGTTATCCTTACCAACGGTCCTGCTACTGCAGTCTGTATTATTTTGGCTGCCAAATCTTTGCGACTGTTTCACTATCTGGGGTCTCTTTTCAATATCAAGAACCGCCAATACAGGGATAGCTCGAGATCATCTCAAGCGAAGAGGTCAGACGATGCACCGGCACCAGTTCACTTCCAGCTGCGTACCATTTACGTAGAGTCATGGGCACGAGTCACAACGTTTAGTCTAAGTGGCAAGCTATTGTTACCTTTTGCTGATCGATTTCTCGTGCAATGGCCTGACCTAGCGGGGAAACAGGCCTGGAGGGGCATGAGGAACACCGAATATGCCGGTACGCTGGTAGACTAACAATAGCGTTGCATTCTGACGGTGTTGACGTGCAGACTACCATATTTCTTAGAACATGTATACTATTACAGATACTGAGAGATAATAACAAAGGATACAGCTGTGTCTATCAGCCACAAATCTTACAGAATAGCCGAGGTCAGTTAAGCGCGCCCAGTGCACCTCAACTCGACATGTTCTTCCCCGCAGTGCTTGAGATAATCAATCAAGCCTTGTGGTCACCTACTGCCTTTCTTGAATATAGCACTAGTACATACGTAGAGATGGGCAGGATCAAGCTCACACACGTCAAGCTAAAGAGCAATTCGCCAATTCCGCTCCCATGCAGATATCGGAATTATGCCGGTGTCTTCTCCATACCTGAAAAGCGTTACCCCGCGCAGTTGACCATTATACTGTTTCTGTCTCGACAATTATTCTTCCTGTCTATATCATTTAGATACTGGCTTCCTAGGTTCTCCATAATATACCTTCAGAAACGTATTTGTGAATCATGTCCTACTCGTTAAAAGGTCGCAACGCCCTGATCACTGCTGGCTCCCGGTACGTCTGCTATTCCGGCTTCTTATTGGTGATGACGCTGACGAATTATCCAGAGGATTGGGAGCTCAAGTGGCTCAAAAGTACGCTGCCGAAGGGTGTAACGTTGCGATCAACTACTTTTCGAGTAAAGACGTGGCGGAGGAGCTCGCGTCCAGCCTACAGACTCAGTACGGCATCAAGGCCATCACTGTTCAAGGTGTAAGTCATGCTTGCCTGCTGTGGCAATCTATAATGCGCGCTAGAGATTCACTGAGCTGGGAATTTGACTAAGCCCTGCAAATCTAGGACGCAAGTCGCCGTCAAGACTGTAGCAATGCGATCAAGACCACGATTGAACAGCTTGGAGGTCTAGATATTGTGGTCTCAAATGCAGTGAGTTCAATCAATGTATGCTTCTCACTATATCGCCTCGGACTAATTGCTGTCAAGGGTTGGACCAAAATGACTACATTCAGCGATTTAGACGCCATGGACGATGACGACTGGGACAGGGTAATGAAATCCGCTCTTATGGGCAACAACGGCTGACAATGTCTCCCAGTGCTGGTCAACGAATGTCAAGAGCAGTTGGTACCTCTTCAAGGAAGCACTTCCTACATTCAACGCAAACCCCGACGGCGGTGTCTTCATTATCACTTCGTCCACTGCGGTAGGTAACCACCAATCCCATCTTTGGGTCAAATATGTCTTGTGAAGGTTGGCGCTCAATATAGCCATTTAGGGTGTCACACCAAGCGGCAGCAGCATACCGTACGCTGTGACAAAGGCAGCAGGTAAGGTCCATAGGCAAAGTCATGAGTGAGCTATGACTCACAATTCAACATAGGTTTGCACCTTATGAAGTGTCTCGCACAGAGTCAAGGTTCAAAAGTCCGCGTCAACGCTGTGGTGCCTGCTCTCTTGCTCACTGAATGGGTACGTCAGACTAGAACATAGAATGAGCAGCGCAGAACTCGGGCTAATCAAACTACAGGGACAACGGTTCCCTGCTGAAAAGATCGCAGCCTTTAAGAACAAAGCGGTACTTGGGAAACTGGTAAGAGAGGCCGAATTTTTATACTCGACCCTCGTTAGCTAATCGAGTGACCATTAGCCTGAGGTGGAGGACGCTGCCAATGCATATGTTATGCTGGCTCAGAACTCGTCCATGACTGGACAGTCCATCCAAGTTGGTAGGTGGCCCCAATTTATGTCATTTATCGCAATGCTGATGACACAGATGCCGGTTTTGCGATCAAATAAGCGGTGTTGCTCTGAAGACCGGCTGGAGCATGGTGATAGCTGCCAAACATATAGACATAGAAGTTGAAGCGGTATCATTTTGTTAGAATAATGAAAGGAAATGACGATGCTCGTCCTTCTTTGGTTCATTGCAAAGGATTATGGAACGGAGTGAAGTCGGCAGCGCCAGAGTGAAAGGTTCGATCACTAAGCATCCGAGCTTTGAGCGCGGCGCGAACACCATCTGCATTCTGTTCTCCTTCGACCTTCATTTGATGAATCCGAATCAGTTTGCCATCTCTTGTGAACACGTACAGCCCCTTCCCTTGTTGGCGATCAATCGGGTTTGCGCTATCCACAAAAGGCAAACCGGGAACAAGAGAGAATGCCTCGCAGCCCTTTGGAGTTTCTACTTCCTCCATCTCGCTCAAGATCACTCTGCGCTGCTGGAACGAAGGATTCCCGGAAGCAGGATCGCTCCTCGCGAGGGTTTTGCTCCAGAGGGGACCGAGCACGCGATTCCGCCTGTTGATGTCCTTCCATGTCCAGTTGACCCAGTCTATGTGTCGATCCTCCGGCTTAATCTTCGCCGCATGAATTAATGGCCCATCGCTCTGTGATGCCCGCCAGCCTGCGTCTTCTATGGGAGGGACGAACAATCCTTCGCGAATACCATCCAAGAGGATCTCTGCTCCCTTAGGAGCAACGATTTTTAGAAGCTCCGGAACGGTGCATGTGTCAGGATGTGGTATCTCGAAACCGGGGGCTGGAGTCTGCTTAAGGATGACGCCATGATCGAAATGCTTGAGATGTAGGGTTTGAAGCGTAACGCCGGTTTTCGTTCTCCCTGCTAGAAGAGTATGGTGTAACGGGGCCGGCCCACGGAAACTAGGCATTCGCTCGTTAGATGAACCCTCTTGAGGAACTGCTTAGGACTTTGAGGAGCGTACTCGGGAAGCAAGGATGGATGAACGTTCAATCCACCGTACTTGGCGGCATTGAGGATTCGCGGAGGCACGAATAAGCCAAAGGATACAGCCACTATCAAATTGATGGGACCCCCGGGCAGTATTGGAGGCTAGCAGTGTCAGTACGCAAGTCTACCGTGTCGACGAGGACTATAGATTACCGCCCAGCCTTTGAATGTGTCTATCTCATGAATTGGAAGTGAAAGTTCTCTTGCGACCGCCTTAATAGGGACTATGGATCAGATAGAAAGAGTGAGCATAGTTCCAAGCACATTAATCCTTCAAAGTGGACAGAGTACCCTCCCGTATTTTCTTCAAACCCCTCCCTACTCTTTTTCCAGGTCTGCAAACAACATCAATCGACGATATTCGATCTGGTCGTTTCACATGTTCTTCTTGTAAAGCTTTCAAGGAAGCTATGCTGAACTCGTCAGCTCCGCAAAAGAGGATACGGAGAGGGTCGTATGTTTTCGTCGCAAGGAATCGATATCCAAAGCTGCGCTTTGAAAGAGCGCATCTATAGTCGCAGAGAGCTCCAGCTTTCATGAGATAAGCCATGGTCTGAACCTGCCCACGTCCTCGTGAGACGGGCTCTGTATTTGCTATTTGGCTGTCGCGGTTGTGGAGTGAAGCTCCGCGAAGCTTTCCCGATGCTCAGCCACGTGATGTCACCATATCAACATGCCCATCAGATCAACGCAGCTCGTCTTCCAACGACATAGTCGTGCTCAAGTGTGCCACATCTCTGTGATGAGCAGTGGCATGATCTGAACATGCGATGCCAGATAGCGACTTCACTTCAGTGGTTCCCGCACAGCTCTCATTCCTTGCGATATACAACCCCCTCCTCGGACCGACAGACGAAAGTATCGGTGATCAGGTTGTTTTCTATACCTCCAGAACAGAGCGATCACGACGAAATGAGCGATCAGCAGCAGATAACGGCGATGCAAAGTTTACTGAGGGGCAAAATGAGAGGTTGCGCCAGATAGGACTGGCGCAGGGAATGGTCAGCTTCGCCAGGTTCGAATCACAACGTTTGCAGAACCTGAATAAAGCTGAGATGGTACTCCAGGAATTTCTCCGAGGGTAAACCGGTCGATTATGTGGAGACAGAAAAATCGACCGTCATACTACATGAGTTGGAGGAAAATTGGTGGATACTAGCAGTAAGTAAGGCCTCGCGGGGCATTCTGAGTTGGTCGCTGACGATGTGATCACAGTCAATAGATCTCACTAGGCTTCCCACTGAATCAGCAAGTGGCGCTGCCTCCCAGCAAGATACAACCGGTGCTTCTCCTTTCTATTACTCCTCGAGAGAGATTTGTCCGCCGCAACTCTTGAAACAACAGCTACGCCGGGCTCACTCCATATTMCTCCTTCATCATGAGCGTACGCTTCAGCGTCTGTACGACCGCGTTGGAAGGTCCTCGTTTTGCATTTTTCTTGAGCGCTTTTGGAGCAAATTTGCATGGAGCTGGGACATTCTCCTGACTGGGAACCCCACCGTTGAATTATATAATGGCATAAAGCTTTCTGCTGGCGGCGAGCTTGGCATCGGAGTGGGCGAGGAAGAATGGGGAAGTGGGGAGAGAGAGGTTCTTGAGGACTATGTGCTCAGAACAGACGGCCTAGTGGATCTAGTCGTCTCCCGGTTCGGCGATCCTTCTTCCGTCGCGGAGAATTTAGCAACGACAAAGAGGTCTGAGGATCCTGCCGATGCAGGCGAAGATCAGGGAAGTTGGCTTGGTTCGGACGTCTACCCTCGTCCATCAGATGGTGTCATATTCTCCGGAGTCGGTAACATCTCGAGGTCTTCTCTGGTACAGGTCTCTCAATGGATGGAATGGATCTTTAGGTATGGGTACGATGCGTATGGGGTGGGCGAGAACCCGACGTCACCGCGACGGCGAAAACGCCGGGGGGGACATCGTGGTCGATCAGCTGCGAAAGCTCTCTCGGCTAGCCGTACCGACAAATCCCAATTGACGACGACAAAGCGCAGCTTTGCCCCAGGGATACCCTCTCCCCTTGTAGTAGGAACATCGAAAGCTGCACAGGAGGCCGGGCAAGGGACACCGCAAAGTAGCAGTGACAGCTCCCCATCCAGGGGCGACAAGGGCAGCGATTGGATAGGTCTTGGATCAGACACCCTGGTCAAATATCTCACATTCGGATACGGCTCGTCTTGGGGTTTTTCGTCCGGCACAACCAGCACACATCCCCGCGTTGAGGCACTGAAGCGGGAAGAGACTGGGTCGGACGCGA